CCTAATCACTGAGACGCAAAATTGTGGTTAAGAGTGTGAAATATTTCATGGGGCCTTTTTCGGGTCTATCTGATTTTTGTGTCATGGAGCCTGAGGTATTATTCTTGAGATAAAATAAGAAAACAAACTCACCATCATCTATCATTTTTCTTTATTTCAATAGCTGCAGCTCAAGCACATAAAGATAAGTCAAATACAGTTTGTCCTTTATTTACACAATTATATCCATGATGATTTTGTCTGTTAAACTAAAGACTGAACTCTGTAAGAATCCCCCCCCCCCCCGGGCTGTTAAATGTAAAGTTGGAACGTGACAAAGAGCTTGAGTTGCCACTCATCTTTATTTGCTCTGTTAGGTTAATACACCTCTTTGATTGGTTACCTTGATTGGTCATCACGCTCGCTGTGTCACTCAATCCCCTTCCTGATTATGCATGAGTGTTTTGAGCTGTAATAACAGGTTGTATTTATGTCTTTAAAGAACAAGCCTCTGCCTCAGGCATGTAGTTTCATTCTCCTCATCATGTGACGGAGACAGTAATTGATTTCTCATTCTCTGACTTAAGGCAGTAACCTAAAAAGAAAAGCATAGGTTAATGACAGCTAGTTTGTAGGCCAATAATAGAGAATTTAACAGTGGTGATCTATTTGAAACAGACTATTAGACTTTGATTTTCTAATATGTAATTGTAACTGGCACAGTCACCTTGGAGGAGTCATTTACTTCTGCCCTCTTTAGCTATACAGTATGTTATCAGCAAATTAATATTTTTGAATACAGTGTACAATAAATCGGGTATAAAACCTCTGATTATTGAAGCTGGCAAAATATGGTTTTAATCATTTTTTCAAAAATAAAATTACTATATTTTATCTTCACTCGCATTTCATTCAAGGTCACACTAAATAACAGTTGATTAATAATAATGACTTACTATTGGCTGCCATGCTTTGTCAATTGGCATGATTAATTTGATTTTCAAGTTCAGTTTTAACTTTTTACTTATTACATCTTTTGTCAAAGATAGTATATTTTACAACAAATAAATCTTATACATTTGTACAACATAATTTTTGGTTTCTTGTGTATTTTTTCAGATTTTTGAAATATGCAATATGGAGAGGTAACATGCATATTTCTAGATTGTAAAAGCACATTATTTAGAATATTAATTACAAGATCTGTATAATATACTACTATATATACATTTGTCATTTGTATTCCAAGTTATAGTTAAAAGGTGTTTTAAAGCAAAAACACATTTTAACATTAAAAACGTTTTCTAAAGAAATTGCGCACATTTTAGTTTTTTTTTTTCCATTTAACAGTAGGTGACAGAATGTCTTTCTGACCCACTTACTTCAGCAAGCCACCTTAACCATGAAACCCATCTAAAGTACATGATGCAACTGTGCCTTTCCCCACACAACCAAACACTTCCTCTCTGAATTCACGAAGAGATGGGCATCACCACAAGATTAAAACATTTTTATAGGCACATTCACTTCACAGACGTGTTTAAAACGTGCAATTCTGCTTGAGGCAATGATGTGCTATCATGAAGTGTATTACTGAATGTTTCATCATGAAATTAGAGTCTCTTTGGTCTTCATTTAGCTGGTTAGTTATGACAGAACAACCTTCTATAGATGAATAAAATCAGCCAAATATTATAGAATGGAAGTATCTCTTTGGTCTTTTAATTCAATCAGACAAAGCACCAAATGCTCTACAGCTAGGATTTATTTTGATCTTTGATGGTTGTCACTGGGTTTGTGCTTATTTTCATTTTCAATAATCTTTTTACATCTAGAGAAATCAAGCCTGTCCTCAGGCTCTGTGACACAGCCATTGTTGGACGTTGAATAGACTTCTCTGTGGTGAGCTACAGAGCCAAAGCACCCAGGAATCCAGGGACACAAATCTTTCTGATAAGATTTAGACTCCGTCCCATGCGGCCCGCTAGCATCAGCACAATTGTCTCTACACTCGTCAGACTGCCCATCACTTCTCTCTGTCCAGTCTAACAAACTAATTTATACCCTACTCTTGACTCTAAATCTCAAAGCTTTATTAGCCATAGTTTATGAGTGGATATGGTCTGGGCACGACCAACTGATGGTTGTTGCACTTGCCCTGTGGATCGATCTGTAGTAGACAGGCTGCATAATTACTGTACTTGCGCTGTGAGATGTGGGATGGTTAAATTGTGGTGCTTGAAGGTTCTACGCCCCCTGATGTTCACTAGGACCACCTCTCATTGTAACATGTCTGTCCCATCATTAACAACCATTAGTTAACGACCAGCCAGTTGCCAAGCTGTGATGACAGTAGTTCAGTGGTTTGTGCTGTTGTATAACTTGATGTCCATCAAGGTTTGGAAAAATTCAGAATTTAAAGAATTGGCCCCCTTTAAATGAATGACTTGGAAATTGAATTAAATTTTCTGCAGAGTGAGTGAGTGAGTGAGTGAGTGAGTGAGTGAGTGAGTGAGTGAGTGAGTGAGTGAGTGAGTGAGTGAGTGAGTGAGTGAGTGAGTGAGTGAGTGAGTGAAAGAGTGGGTGGGTGAGTGATTGCGTGAGAGAGTGAGTAAGTGGGTGTTTGAGTGAGTGGTTGAGTAGGTGGGTGAGTGAATGAATGAGTGAGTGGGTAGTTGAGTGAGTGAGTGAGTGAGTGGGTGGGTGAATGAATGAATGAGTGAGTGAGTGAGTGAGTGAGTGGGTGGGTGAATGAATGAATGAGTGAGTGGGTAGTTGAGTGAGTGAGTGCGTGAGTGAGTGGGTGGGTGAATGAATGAATGAGTGAGTGGGTAGTTGAGTGAGTGAGTGCGTGAGTGAGTGAGTGAGTGGGTGGGTGGGTGAATGAATGAATGAGTGAGTGAGTGGGTGGGTGAATGAATGAATGAGTGAGTGGGTAGTTGAGTGAGTGAGTGAGTGGGTGGGTGAATGAATGAATGAGTGAGTGGGTAGTTGAGTGAGTGAGTGCGTGAGTGAGTGGGTGGGTGGGTGAATGAATGAATGAGTGAGTGGGTAGTTGAGTGAGTGCGTGAGAAAGTGATTGGGTGAGTGCGTGAGAGAGTGATTGATTAGGTAGGTGGGTGAGTGAGTGGGTGGGTGGGTGAATGAATGAATGAGTGAGTGGGTAGTTGAGTGAGTGCGTGAGAGAGTGATTGGGTGAGTGCGTGAGAGAGTGATTAGGTAGGTGGGCGAGTGAGTGTGTCAGAGTTAGTGCGTGAGTGGGTGGGTGAGTATGTGGGTGAATGAATAAATGAGTGAGTGCGTGAGTGAGTGGGTGGGTGAATGAATGAATGAGTGAGTGGGTAGTTGAGTTAGTGAGTGCGTGGGTGAGTGGGTGGGTGAATGAATGAATGAGTGAGTGGGTAGTTGAGTTAGTGAGTGCGTGGGTGAGTGAGTGGGTGGGTGGGTGAATGAATGAATGAGTGAGTGGGTAGTTGAGTTAGTGAGTGCGTGGGTGAGTGAGTGGGTGGGTGGGTGAATGAATGAATGAGTGAGTGGGTAGTTGAGTGAGTGCGTGAGAGAGTGATTGGGTGAGTGCGTGAGAGAGTGATTAGGTAGGTGGGCGAGTGAGTGTGTCAGAGTTAGTGCGTGAGTGGATGGGTGAATGAATAAATGAGTGAGTGCGTGAGTGAGTGAGTGAGTGGGTGGGTGAATGAATGAATGAGTGAGTGGGTAGTTGAGTGAGTGAGTGCGTGAGTGAGTGGGTGGGTGAATGAATGAATGAGTGAGTGGGTGAGTGAGTGCGTGAGTGAGTGAGTGAGTGGGTGGGTGGGTGAATGAATGAATGAGTGAGTGAGTGAGTGAGTGGGTGGGTGAATGAATGAATGAGTGAGTGGGTAGTTGAGTGAGTGAGTGAGTGAGTGGGTGGGTGAATGAATGAATGAGTGAGTGGGTAGTTGAGTGAGTGAGTGCGTGAGTGAGTGGGTGGGTGAATGAATGAATGAGTGAGTGGGTAGTTGAGTGAGTGCGTGAGAAAGTGATTGGGTGAGTGCGTGAGAGAGTGATTGATTAGGTAGGTGGGTGAGTGAGTGGGTGGGTGGGTGAATGAATGAATGAGTGAGTGGGTAGTTGAGTGAGTGCGTGAGAGAGTGATTGGGTGAGTGCGTGAGAGAGTGATTAGGTAGGTGGGCGAGTGAGTGTGTCAGAGTTAGTGCGTGAGTGGGTGGGTGAGTATGTGGGTGAATGAATAAATGAGTGAGTGCGTGAGTGAGTGGGTGGGTGAATGAATGAATGAGTGAGTGGGTAGTTGAGTTAGTGAGTGCGTGGGTGAGTGGGTGGGTGAATGAATGAATGAGTGAGTGGGTAGTTGAGTTAGTGAGTGCGTGGGTGAGTGAGTGGGTGGGTGGGTGAATGAATGAATGAGTGAGTGGGTAGTTGAGTTAGTGAGTGCGTGGGTGAGTGAGTGGGTGGGTGGGTGAATGAATGAATGAGTGAGTGGGTAGTTGAGTGAGTGCGTGAGAGAGTGATTGGGTGAGTGCGTGAGAGAGTGATTAGGTAGGTGGGCGAGTGAGTGTGTCAGAGTTAGTGCGTGAGTGGATGGGTGAATGAATAAATGAGTGAGTGCGTGAGTGAGTGGGTGGGTGAATGAATGAATGAGTGAGTGGGTAGTTGAGTTAGTGAGTGCGTGAGTGAGTGGGTGGGTGAGTGAGTGCGTATATGGGTGGGTGAAGAGTGGGCGGGTGAGAGAGTGAGTGGGTGAGTAGCTGGGTGAATGAGTGCGTGAGAGGGTGGGTGGGTGGTATGAGTGAGTGAGTGAGTGTGCATTCATGCATTGTGAGAAATTCTTCCACATTGGTCAGGCCTATAAAATAAACTTTTAAATGTATTCATTAATTTAAAAACATTCAAAAAGTTTGTCAAGTCATCAATAAATGTATTGTGTTGATAAACTGCTAATGTATTATTTTTTTCCCATTTATTTAAAAATATATATTTTAAAAAAAAATTTAAAAGCTATCAATTTATCTGTTTATCTCTTATAGAATTCTGCCAGCCCAGCTGCGACAGGCTCCAACGCCCCTGTTACAGGCTATCGCCGCATGGTCATCCCAACCCAGCCCCCTCTAACCGCCACTAAAAAATCCACCCCAAAACCACAGGCCCCTCCGACTATCCCTCCTCCAGCTTCATCTTCTCCACGCCCCCAATACCAGCCTGCCCCCCAGCCTGTCCCAGCGTCCTACACCACCGCCTCTACTCCAAGCCAGCCAACCTTCAATGTTCAGGTCAGGGCCGCCCAGCCTGGACCCCAGCAGCAGCCGGTCCGTGGTCCAGCCCAGGTACAGTACATGCCGGCTCAACCCAGAGGCCCTGACTTTGCATACGGGCCTCCTCAGCCGGGATTCTGCCCTGCTCCATCTGGAGGCTACCATGACCAGCACTATGGTGGAGCTCCTGGTTATGGAGGTCAGAACACATGGAGAGCTGAACCGAGTCACCATGCCCCTCCTCCATCCACCCAAGGGTACCAGCCTGCTCCCCCGAAAAAAACCTACATCACTGATCCTCCTGCCAGCTTAGCACCCTTCGGCGGTGGGCCTTCTGTTCCTCATAAGGTAAGGGCCACATCTATGTTTCAAATAACAGTAGAACGAACAAAAACAGATAGAAAAACAAATCCATGAAAAGCATTCAGGCCCATAATCAATTCCTAATTTTAATGAATTTATGTAATTATGTTCTCTGTGATATGTGTATTTTAAAGCACTGAAACATTGAATTATTTTAAAATGGCATGCACTATTTGTGTCACCGGATGAAATGTTATTTAGAGGACAAAATGGCCTTACTATTGGCTGCTACCTGTGTATGACTTAAATAAATGATATTTTCTGGATAAAAACACACATGGATTATTATTCAAGTTGTGAATCTGTAGGCCAAATGAAAAAAAAAAAAAACAGAGCAGTTGAAGAAGTTAATACGAAAAAGTACAAGGTACAAAACAATATTCAAGCATTTGTGTCCAACACATCTAGGAAAGGGTTCAGGTCTTGTGAAGGGTCACCACTCACCCTTGTGAAAATTAAGTACACATTAGCATACTAATATACTTTAAACTAACATACTTAAGTGTGAACTGAATGTAATGTTTTCAAACACTTAATTGCATTGGAAATAAATGAAAATGTATTATAGTTTAACTTTATATTAAATGCAGTTACGACTGAAAGTACATCTTTATAGTTAATTTCAGAATTATATCTATTGTCTGCTTTATTTACTGACAAGCATTTATGTAAACTAAAATATACATTAATGCAATTTCTATTGAAACTTGTCATGTAATTAATTTTATTTGTAATTACACATTTGTATTAATGAACTTGAATTTAGTACATTTAGGATATTAACTTTAAATGTAATATTAACACACTAAAGTTTAACTTATGATCAAGTACTTTACATGTTCTTTTGTATATTAGTCAAAATAAGTGTGCTTTAAATCAGGACAAAATATTATTGAAACAATTACTTAATGTACTTTAAAGTAAAACAACTAATTTGACATTACTGCATTTTGCACTCTTTTTAGGTTAAGACACAAAAACATGAAAATTCACTCTTTTTTAAGTGCACTTAATTATATTATCTGCAAGTATGCAAGTTGTTGTTGTTGTTGTTTTTTTGTTTGTTTGTTTGTTTTTACATTTGTCTGTATGGGAGTATAGTTTGGCAAAAATCTTGATCTTGGAATGATGTAGGATTTTTATAGTTAGATTACACAGCAAGTGTTTTAGATGTTTAGATGTGATGTAAATAGAACACAAGTTTCTCATATGTCAAACATACTATTCATTTCTTTGCGTACATTTTTTTTATTATTCAAATATTACCATTTCTGTGCTTTCAAATAAAACACATGAAATAAATTGGATTTAGAATAGTACAATTAGAGCATTGATTAAGGGTATGAATATCTTTGGAAAACACTGCAAACCAGAAAGGATATTCTGGAAATATACTGCTCATTTTTATCCAATAGCAGGCCGTGATGATGGAAAGGTACACATAATCACACAGCTGTCCTTATTCTGTGCAAAATGAAAAATTCATGAAAATACTTTGAAAGTGTGTAGCTGTGTGTGTTGTTTGTGTGTGTATGAATGAATAATACATTTGTGGTAATTAATTATCTGTGTTCATGTCCTATGATTGTTTGTTTAAGCTTGTAGCTTGTGTGTGTTTTTTTGTGATTTATTGATTGTGTATGAGAGAGGGGGAACATTTTCAAAGGCTGGTTACCACAAAACATGCTCGTATTTAAAATTAAACCTTGAATCTTTGTACAGTCATAACAGCTCATTTAAAGTAACAGCAACTTGATTTTATGTTTAACAGTAATGTGTGTGCGCGTATGTGTGTTAAAGATCATGAGCGAGTGTAAGTGGCTCATAAGTGTGTATACTGCTGTACTTAGTGTTTGTGATTTAATTGCTTCAGATGGCAATACAGCAGGGAGTTTCTTTGCATCCTTCATCGAAATCTTCGGAATAAACAGTTATTTTAACCTTTATGAATTGTTAATGCCGCTTCTCTGTAGGGCTTTACACTTTCTGACTCTATTTGTCTGAATAAAAACAGAATGTTTATTTTATCTTACCTCACACATTCATATTTCTCTCTCACTTTCACTCTATTTGCTCTTATTTCTTCCTACTTGACATCTAGTTCTAACTTATTATCTATTGAAAGAGAAACAAAGATGCTTTGTCAAAATATATTTATATTTGTTTTATGGATTTTTGTCAATTTAACTGATTTCTCTTTAGTCTTATTAGGACCATGCTTCAAAGTAAGTAACTAGTAAATGGTTAGGTCATGCGATTATTCGTGTTTGGTGATGCCCATCAGGGTTTTGCAAACTGGGAGCTGCAAAGGAGCAGAAAATGAACGGGTTAAATGAAATTTAACTGGTCATGTATTACATATACATACAGTATTTTACAATGGTCTGACTGAATACTGGATTCTGACTGGCTGAAATGCATGAGTTAAAACTGGTTAATGCATAGGTAGTTCCAATCAGTTTAATCAGCATTCTAATTCTAAATGAATGTGCTCCCTTCATTGAAGCACACGCTCACACAGACAGTGCCTGCATCTGAAATCGCATGAGTAGATACTTATTTTGAATAAGTAATTACTTCTCAATCGCTAAAATAGAACCGTCTATATAGTATGAATGTAATTTGTATGTACTAGATTCGCCATGTTGTCATTATCATGTGACGTACCTGTGTCAGTTGCGTCGCTTCACTAGCATTCACAAATCCTCTCCCGTGGCCTCATGGGATAGTAAAGAGTCCGTTGTACACACATTTCAGAATCTTGCCGGAAGTAGTCGGTCATCCGGGTGCCTTTTGCTTACTCTTTTATGAGTACTGTGAATTTGGACATACTTCTTTTGTCACACTGTTTTTCGCTTACTATATAGTAGAGAAGAATGCGTAGTGCAATATCAGTATTGTCTTAGAATTTTAAATAAAGTAAAATAGAGCAGTGCAGGTCCATACAATGATAATATACTAATTAGTGCATTCAATAGAAGATTAAAGGCATGAGGTAGATAAATAGAATAATATTGGTTGACTATGTCCAGTATAAGGGTAGTAATTAACAAAGTAACTGCTTGGGGATAGAAGCTGACTTTGTGTCGGCTGGTTTTGGCATACAGTGCCTTGTATCGTCTACCAGAGGGGAGGAGGTTGAAAAGTTTGTGACCAGGATGAGAGGGGTCTGCAGAGATTTTTACTACCCTTTTCCTGAATCTGGACCGGCGGCCCCCTCCTAAATTCCACTGTCATCTCCACAGTCTTCTTGGGATTTAACTCCAGGTGATTTTGACTGCACCATTGGACAAGCTGCTCCACCTCCTGTCTGTAGGCAGACTCATCCCCATCCCGGATCAAACCAATGATAGTTGTGTCATCAGCAAACTTCAAGAGTTTCACAGACGGGTGCTTTGAGGTGCAGTCATTGGTATAGAGGGAAAAGAGCAGTGGGGAGAGGACACACCCCTGAGGAGCGCCGGTGCTGATGGACCGGGGTTTGGATGAAATGCTCCCCAATCTGACATGCTGCTGCCTATCACTCAAGAAACTGGTAATCCACGGGCAGGTGGAGGCAGGCACTGAGAACTGGGTGAGCTTCTGATGTAAGAGTTCAGGTATAATGGTGTTGAACGCTGAGGAGAAGTCAACAAACAGGATCCTAGCATACGTCCCTGGGGAGTCTAGGTGGTGCAGTATGTATTGCAGTCCGATGTTAACAGCATCATCTGCAGACCTGTTTGTCCTGTAGGCAAACTGCAGGGGGTCCAGCTGGGGGCCTGTAATGTCCTTCAGATGGCACAACACCAGTCTCTCAAAAGATTTCATGACCCCGGAGGTCAAGGCGACAGGCCTGTAGTCATTTAGTCCTGTGATGGAGGGTTTTTTGGGGATTGGAATGATGGTGGACCGTTTAAAACAGGAGGGCACTTCACACAACTCCAGAGACCGGTTGAAAATCCGCGTGAAAATCGGCGCCAGCTGGTCCGCACAGGCACGCAGGCAGGATGGGGAAACGCCGTCAGGGCCGGGGGCCTTTTTGGGCTTTTGCTTCTGGAACAGCCGGCACACATCATTCTCACAGATTATCAACACAGGTGGGGGGAGGGGGTAGATTGTTGGGGAAAAACCTTTTGTGCGTGAGGGGTGTGATAATAGGTGCCTTTCAAACCTACAGTAGAAGTCGTCCAGGTCATTAGCCAGTCTAAGATTTTCTGCAGGGTGAGGGGATGGGCTTTTGTAATCTGTGATCTGTAGCCTGCAACTCCAGCTTTGATTCTCTTGTCCATTTTTTAACAGACCTTGCCACAGGTTTAGAGGTTTTAAGTTTTTGCCTGTAAGTTGGAATGAGATGAAGCAGACAATGATCAGATAGTCCTAGAGCTGCCCGGGAGACCGCGTGATAGGCATCCTTTAAGACTGTATAACAGTGGTCCAGAGTGTTTTTGTCCCTGGTTGAAATCTTGATATGTTGTCTGTATTTAGGGAGTTCTTTATTGAGTTTAGCACTTTTAAAATCACTGACAATAATCACGAGAGAGTCTGGGTGCTGTTTCTCTGCGTCTGTTATCTGATAGGCAAGCTGTTGTATTGCGTCAGCTACGCAGGCTTGTGGTGGTATGTAAACACCGACCAAAACAAACGAAGAGATCTCATGCGGAGAATAGAAAGGCTTGCAGTTTATGATGAGAGTTTGGTAACGCTTCCTTTTACAGCACAGTACTTATGTGTACTTACAGTGTACTTACCTAGAAAGTACTGGCTAATATAAGGTAAGTACATGGTTTAGGGGTAGGTTCAGGGTTAGTACCTAGTTATTACCCAGCAATTATAATTACTATAATAAGTACATAGTAAGTACATGGGAAACAGGACTGTAAAAGGAAGCGTTACCGAGAGTTTCTAGGTGGGGACTGCACGTCTTTTTCAACACAGTAACATCAGTACACCAACCTTTGTTTAGATAGAAGCCGATTCCTCCGCCTTTTGTTTTCCCCAAAAGC